AAAACCAACCGAGCTGAGTTCATTGCTGTCAGATTTACAAAACATCTATCTAATCTTTCTAAGATACGAGCTCCACCAACCTTGTCATTGCACCAAGTAAATTTTGGACCAATAACTCCCACCTCATGAAGATCATTATTTACCAAAAAAAACTTCATCTCTTTGGACGTCTGAGAGAACCGAAAGGCCTTACCCCCTCTTTTATCTTCCTTGGACAATATGCTGTTGAAATCCCCTCCAACCGCCATAGGAAGGTTAATAGAAAAAAAAAGCTTCTAGGTTCTCCCAAAGGATCCTCCTCTGAACCACCTCCTTATCACCATAAACAGTGGCTATCCTCCAAACAGCCCTATTAACAACTTCAAGCTCTCCTATTACCACTTGATTAGAAGAATATAATAAAGAAAAAGAAGCCAAAGCACAAGTATTCCCCCAGACAAGCCATCTGCAGGAACTTGAAAGAAATCTCAATCATTTCCTATAAGGAAATTGATTTCCATTCTACTGAAATTTGAAACTTTAGTTTCCAACAACCCCACAAAGAACACATTATGATCTTTTACTACCTCTTTTAGATATAGAGAAGCTTGCTTCTTTCTAGCCCCAAAAGGATCCCATCCACATCCCCTGTAGCATTAGACTGATCACTTCCATCTCCTACATCAGCAGCATAAACAATCTCACCTTCCTCCACCAAATCCTTGAGAACCGCAAACTTGTTTCCTTCTTTATGAAGAGATACCTTTTACCCAGCAATATCCTTCTTAAAATTGATGTTAACATCATGTTTAGAACCACCAATGACAGTAGACGTATCCTCCTTGGCTACGCCACCCGTTTTGTTTTCAGCCTTACTAATCTCCATTACTCCTTTTTTTAAAAAAAGAAGTCTTTGCAGCATCCTTAGGATCCTTGCTAACAATTTTCTTCCACCAAACTTTCCTCCCATGGAATTCATTATTGTCACGACCCGGCCTGGTTAGCTCGTATAGACGAGGCGGGAACGAAAATCGGACAGGCAAATAAACCATAACTTCTAAAACTTTTTAAAGACATAAAGTATAACTGTAAGAACTTCAACACGTAGGAAACAAGCGCCTCTAATCATCATATAAACAAATATAGCATTTCATATAACATATATGTACAAAGGTGGCAAAAAAAAAAATCTAACCAACATGATTCAGCCACCCAAAACAATCTAAACTATAACAAAACAACAAAAGAGACAAGTGGAACCTGTCACCCGGTGTACGACGGCTGTAAGTGAACCTTGGGTGGTCAGCCATCTCTCGCAGCGGTTTCTCCTGAAAAGTTTCCCAAAACTAGGGAATGAGCTACGCTCAAGTAGGAAAAACTCTATCCTATGTTTTCATATGCCTTCATGTTATAAAGAAAAGTTCTGAACTGCTTGGATTTCATGCTAGATTTCGTATGCTTTACATATGTCATATTTTTCTCTATGCTTTATGTCACGTATGCCATGTCTTGTGTATGTAATTAATCAAGTCGTCAATTTGCCTTAACATGCCATATTCTCCTTTTCATCATGTACATCATATATGCCTCGTATGTCATAAAATTTATGTCTTATACTTATGCTTATGCGTATGCTTATAATTGTTTATGCTTATACTAATTTATACAACCGTACAGAGTACCAGAGGTGTACTGATCAGGTACACCAATCATCTTTTTTTGGCCAGTAATCTCATCTTTTGCCCCAAAGGGCCATATTGTGCTTTCGCACCATATTTGGTACTCCGAAACAAAACAAACACATGCAATCACTTATAATAATTATCAAACACTTTCAAATATTCATATGCTTGGTCATGAAATACTCTTAATTTTCGGATTAGCAAAATTAGGAAATTAGGAAAATATTTTTCTTTTCCGAAATCTCATTTTCTTTAATTTAAAGGCCTCCTAAAGACATTGGAAACAATATATGTAAAGGTCTCTACACAAACTAACATTTTGGAGAAACCCTAGACTTGTCCTAAAATCCAAAACTCAAAAGAATTCAACGAAACTTCATTTCCACTGTTAAAACTTCGTTCTAAAGCTATCCTATTAATTTCATTCAAAAATTCTAAGTTTTGAGAAAGCCCTAAAATTTTACCTTGAGAAAAACTAGGGAAAAGTGAGGGATTTTTCCATGAAACTCTTACCTTAAGTCTTCCCCTTGCTTTCCCTAAAGGAACCTCGCCGGAAAAGCCGCTGGCCGCCTCTTGGAAGGAGCTCCCGCCGCTTCCTCCTCTCTCCCGTCGCCCTCTCTCTTCGGTCGGCCGAAAGAAATGACAAGGGACCGAATGAATCGGTCCCTAGGCGGTTGTGGGCTTAAGGAAAAAATGTTTAAAGGCTTAAGACGCATGTGCCCTTCTCCCTAAAGTTTTTCTTAAAGGCTCTAAGGATAAAATCGGAAGTTTACCAAAATTTTTACTTAAACTATCTTCGTTGATTTTTAATTCTCAAACCAAGTAAAATTTGGTATGGGTTCTTTATACCGTTTCGATCGAAATTTCGAAACGAATCTAATGAAATTTATTTCGTCAATTTCCGACGATATCGAAATTTCACTTAAGTTCGTCGCGGCGCATTGATATGCGTGCGACGCACGCAAATGACGAATTTCGGGTTTTACAATTATCCCTTGAAACCTTCCTCCCATAACTTACATGTAACCATGGCCCATAACCATTGCCATCCTCCTTAGATGACCCAGCCACATCCTCTACCAAATTATTGATCGAGACCCCACAAGGTCTACCCGGTTCCTTCACACTTCGCTCCACATCCTTTAGCCCACCCTGAACATCACCATATACCTTCTCTGGACAGCAACTAATGTCATGCCCAAGCTTACCACAATTGAAATGGAGATTAGGAATCCTCTCATACTCGATTTTCTGGAAGAACCTCCCTTTCCCTCTACCCAAACACCAAGAGGCAATGATTCTTCTAGGTGAATATGAGCACAAATCCTTGCAAACTCCCTTCTTTCCAATTGAAACATATTTTCATCAATCAAATATGGCTTCTCAATCTTTGATGCAATTCTACAAACATTAGTAGCATCCCAGCACTGCAATGGAAAATTGGGCATTCTTATCCATATTGGTGCAGACAAACCCTTCAAAGAATTAGGGGAGAATGCCGGTGACCATTTATCCACACCAATGATACTCCCCTTAACATACCAAGGTCCATTAGCAAGCACCAAATCCACCGACTCCTCATCATCAAAAGCACACAGACTACAACCCTTACCAAGCTAGGTAAAATTAAATTTACCCAATTGAGACCATTGTCTCCTTGGATTAGTGTTTATAATATACTGAGGAATGTTGTCTCCAAAGACTTTAACCACCAGGGCATTCTGCAGCTTTTTAGTGTTCTCCAATACATTCTTCTCACACAACTTGATTGCCACACCATCTTCCGAAAGTCAGTTACGAAGTCCCAATCAACAATCCTTCTATGAGACTTCTTGTGTCACACATCGACAGGTCATTGCCTGTCGTCTCTTTAAGTAATGTTTCCCCAGCTCCCTCCACATTCGGAATAGAAGAATCTCTTTCTCCAGAGACACAATGTCGAACCACCTCCATATCTCCATTCACTTCCTTCTCACCATTATCTTCAGGATTTGGGATATCCAAAATATCTCCATTAGGTTCCCTCATATTGCCAACAGCCTTTACTCCTTTAAGATTATTCGCAGATAAGTCTCCAGAATTGAAATTCTGGTATTTTTGAAAATCTACCTTCTTCGGCATTTCTTCACAAATCATCACATTCTTTCCTTTTCCAGTCACCGGAATAGATTTAACATTTAACAGACCACCATCATTAATAGTTAGAGATTTACCATAGTTCGAGCTAATCCGAACTCCATTGTTAGCAGCTTGGCCAAAACCCTCGAAGCATCTCCTCTGAAAGCAGGCGGAGAGTAAATTAAAAATGATTGTTGTTGAACCACTGCAGCATCAGATGTGGATCAACGCTCACCCCTTGGACCTACGCCCAACGAGGGCCGGCGATCATCCGTCGTCATCGGAAACTTGATCTCAGCCAAATCAAATTTTGAAAAACAACTTCTCTCTCTCTAGAATCCCGCAGCTTCTCTCTCTAGAATCCCACAGCTTTTGAACTCGAATATTAAAAAAAAATCTCTCCAGGCATTTGGTTGCAGTTCAAAAATTTGCCTTTTCTGGTTTTTTATTTTAATATACTGTGGGTATGTTTGAAAGGAGTTGGACTTAAAAAAAGTGGTTTTATAAATGACAAAACACATAGAATATTTTTAGTATTTAAAAAACATATCAATTTATCTTAAAAAATAGAAAAATTAAGCAACTTAAGGAGCATTTTTTGTTCTCCTTAACTTTTTTTTTTAAAGAAATAAGGAATAAAAAAAATGATTTCGAGGTTTAATAGTTATTATGATACTTATTTTGTTAGAATGATTCAAATTGTGATAATTTAAAGATTTGTATTTGTTTTCGCTTGTTTATTAGTCTTTTCTCCTATAAATTGAACAATCGCCGGGCATTGGATGGGCGTTATTTCCTCTAACCTCGAACAGGTAGGTCGGGTATTCAACCTTCCCTAACAAATCATTCTATGCTTCTTAGATTTCGTAAATTTTACTTAAAATCTTTTTCTAGGTGCATATTCACAAAGAAGTAATGCATTAAATTTCATTTAGTCACCCACATTGAGTTCCATGCTTAAAGATATATTCCCAGCTGATTAACATAGTTGCAATTACTTCTTTCCTTTTTATGTGATTTAATCTTTACCAGAGAAAATTGAAAACATGTTAGACTGCTATAGCTTCCTTGCGTATCAAAACTGGACCATTAATCAAGAAAATTGGATTACTCGTCATACGTGTGGATTATATTAGATGCTTTATTAGTTTGTATTGTATTTTGGGGATTACAATTCCCGGGCGTTGATTTGCTTTTTTTTTTTCACTTGAATCTATGCAGGCAGTTCTTGCAGCAGTGCCGATCTCTTTTAAAACTTTCTTTGATTATTTTTCTTAATGGCATTCAACTGATAAGCATGTGGGTTCGTTGGAGTGTGGCTCGTATATTTGTACTGCTATTCATCAAATGTTTTCAAGAATAAATATTTGATCTGCTTGTTCGTGTATTTGGTATCAGGTTGTCTATGATCTCTTGCTTTGTGTTATCCTCATTGTGATTATTTGCTATATTACTTTCAAGCATTGTTTGATCCAGTTTTATGTCAAATGATCTGTTGCATTGATGCAAGTAAATACAGTGTTGTGTGGTCAGTTGATTTCTTTCTTTGTGGTGGTAACCAAAACCAATTGCTAGATTTCTGTGGCTTTGGCTTTTCCTTGGAGGTTATGTAGCTGGTCTATTTGAGCCATTGGCGGACCACAGGAAGGACGGTCTAGTTTTGTTTTTTTTTTTTTTTATGTAAATTTTTTGTTAACGAGTACTGTAAATGTCTAGACAGCTTTGTTGCTAATCAAATCATAAAATAAGGATTACTGTTCATTTAATATTAATATGGGCGATGAAGGTGGAGAGGAGTGCTAGGGAAGAGGAGATGAAGTAGATTAAAAAAATCAGAGATAGAGGATAGACAAATTGGAGGGAGGACGAGAAGATTGAGAGTGATAGGGAGGATTTATATTTATTTCAATTAAAGTTCACTTTAATGTAAGATCAAAATATTTTATGTAGACTTAGGCTTCATTTGGGGTGGTTCTCTTGCTACTTTTTAAAGTAATTTTCTAGTAATTTTTTTTTAATAAAAAACTGCTTTATGAAGTAATAAAAAAAGTCATTCCAAAAAAAAGCCTCAGATCTTATAAACTCTAATAGAATACTGAATAATAAGGACAGGGGTTATATTGCCAAATAAGGAAACGACTCCCGTGTGCTTATTATCTATATATTGGAAAGTGAGTTTGCAGATGGTGGTGTTGTATCTGTTTAGAAAGAGATCACAGAAATAATATGCTAGTAAGTATAAATTAAACTCCTCATGGCTTTTAAATGATATATACTTTTATCGCCTTTTCCTTTTCTAATAAAATTATATAGAAAAGAGGTAATGCTGACTGTATATTTTAAATACAAGGTATAAGTGTATAATGATGAGATTTATCTATGCTTATGATCGTATAAAGATTAAATATTTCATTAAACTTTAAAAAAGGTATGTTGAAAGATTATATTTCATATGATTTAAAAAAGTATCATTTTGTTTGTGTTAATGATTGAGGGGGAGCATAACTATTTATTGAGGTCACTTACTGCTCTTTTTGTCACAATAGTTTTTTTTCATCTCTTCGCTATTCTTCTTTTCTTCTCTTTATTAGCTTGTAACTGTGGGAGGCATGCAACCAATATTTTATTTGCTTTTTATAGTTGTAATATAAGACATGAAAAATTAAGTGTGAATGAAGCTTGAGTTAGTAACCATCTTCTTGAAATCAGTGATGAATGAATATTGAGTTAGATAGCTACTACATTAAAAAATAAACTTTCCTATTGTATCACTTTGAGAGTTTATCCTGGTTTTTTGCTCTTTTAATTTTGACAAGCTCTAAGCCATTAGCTACAAAAATTTTGTAAATGTAATGTTGCCTGAGTTGTATGCACGTTATCTGAGAAACAAAGATCATGTTCTTTCCTAAGTTAATCTCTTAGACTGTCACAACATTGTGCGCATTCGGTGTTTAGGGTTCTATTCTTCATGAGGTAGATTAATGTTTATTATTATGAATTGGACTTATACATAGTTTATTTTATTATTCAACTTTATTGAAAAATTAATTGTTATTATAATTACCCCCCCCCCCCCTTTTTTTTTTTTTTTTTTTTTTTTTGTTGTATTTTTTTTTTTTTGGGATTAAGTTTCATTTTTTGCTAAAAAAATGCAAACTTGGGATATGCTATTTTTAGTTTATGGCGAAATTGATACAACCCCAATAAAAAATATAAATGCATATGTCAATCAAGTAATAAAGTGTTTGAGAGAGTGTAGATCTCAAGAGAAAATATTATGCTTTACACAACTGTTTATAACACTATTTATTAGGGGTGTCAAAATCTAACCCGTCATATAAAATTTTGGGTTTTGGTCAACTTGTTTATTATACGGGTCAGATTTGGGTTCGACATTTCGACCCGTTTCTAAAATTGGGCGGAGTTTGGGTTTACCCGCCAACTCGAAATTAACCTAGGTTTGACCTACGTAGGGTGTCTGACTGTCCTGAATAGCTTGTTCTCTCTGTCTCTGGGTGAATTATTAGGTCCGGTCAACGGACCTATCTCTGTGTTCGAACACAAATAGAAAGCGGACATCTAGCTGAAAATAAGTGTGATTTTTTTAATATAATCTTTTTTGCTTTATGTCTTGTCAGCCCGATTGACCCGACCCACTAACCCGGAAATGGTTTGAATCCAGGACCACAAGAATGGAAACGAAGTGTTTTTACTTTTCACTTGATATTTTTACTTCTCCATCACTCTCGGCTCTTTGCTTTCGGACTTCTGCAATACCATCCGTTCTGCAATACCTTCTTCCCGGTGATAGACGACGACGTTGGAGTACTTCATCATTTAGAAAAGGTAATGTTGCGCCTTTGTTGCGCTTGAAATGCGCTTTTGGTGTGTTTATGTTATATTTTAAATTTTATGGTTTAGTGTTAATTTTATACAGCAGTGTTTGTTCAATGTGATCTTAAAAAGTTTATTTTCTGGATTTCAACCATCTTCGTAAATGAAAGAAACAAATGATGCAAAACCTTTAGGTGCCCTTTACATGCGCTTTAGTTGCACTTTTGTTGTGATTTAATTGCGCTTTATCTAAAATTTTATTTTTTTTCCAGATGCCATATCAAAGGCCAGTTACTTCTCGACGCTATGTTACAACTTTCAGAAAAATTTGTGATGCATTTGTTGAGATAATTGATGAAGAACTTGAGCAGACTTTAAGGAATTTGAATATTTAGCATTTTTTAAGTTTCCAGCATTCCAGCAGTGTATACCACTTCTTTTTGAGATTCTGAAATTTTGGAATTCTGCTGATGAAGGCTTCATTGTGAATGGTCATTTACTTAAATCCACTTCTGATGAGATTGTTTTGTTGATAGGTAATATTTTGAATAAGAAATTATGGATATATTTTTTTACTTTAAATGTAATATGTATAAAAATTTTCTCACAAGTTTGCTTAACAGAGGTGATGATATCAAATGGAGGATTGATCCCCTCACTAGATCTCTATCTACTGAAATGACAAAATTTGATAGATTGTCTGATAATGCTACTAAGTTAAAAATCTTTATGATATTTTTTTTCTAATTATTTTTTTTCCACTAAATAATCATAAAACCCTTAGAAGGCTTACATCTATAGCAAATAATGAAACTAAGTTCACTTCTATCAATTGGGTTTCTTGTATAAGGAGTTTCATGTCAAGGAATTCAATATAATTTATGACAAGTTTCAAATGGGAAGATCATTGAATTACATCAATGATTTTTTCCCTCTCATACTGGTAAGTTTTCTGTCCTACTGGTGTTTTTCTCTTATAAAACTTTTTAATGTTAATTTATAATATTTTATGTTTAGTATTATACAGATTTGGTTTTTGGAACACTTTTCCTTGAATAAACCATCTGATCCAGAATTAAGACCGTATTTTTTGAGATGGGAAGGGAACACTGAAATATTCTATACCTTAGAAAGTGCTATCAAATTATTTAAATTTTTGAGAAAAAATGATGTAATTTTTAAGTCTAAATATTTTATATTAAGAGTTACGCTTTAATTACGCTATAGTTGCGCTTTAGCAACTATAGCGCATGTAAAGTGCAACTATAGCGCATAAAGAGATATTTGTCTATAATATATTTAAATTTTTTACAGATTTATCTTGTTCTACAGAATGTAACAAATAATGAAGTAGAAAAATTTGGGCCTGACTTAAATGCTATACAAAACCTGGAAATCCACCCTCATTAGCATCCCCATAAAATTCATTCACCACAATGAAGAAAAATTCACACCATCCCACCTCCTCTTCATTCTCCTCATCAAAAACCACATGAAAGTTCTCTTCCGCCTACTCAACCTTCTACTGAACCACCTCTTATAAAATCTAAAGATTGGTTGATTATTCAGAAAAAACTTCTAGAAGCAATTCAAAATATGTGCAATAAAATTGAATAGAATTTGGGAGGTAGAGTTGATCGACTTGAAGATAGTGTGGAAAAACTTCAAGAAATTGTAGATTCTCTGCCGTATAAATTCATTGACTTTCAAATGAAATGCGAATGTAATCTTGATAAATCTTTGTCTTTCTCAAGTATCCAATCTGTAAAAAAACCCAGAACTATAGCTTTTCTCCAAAATCACCCAGTAAAGATCTTCATCCACAATCACCTATTAAAGATTTTACTCCATCATCACCCAATAAAGATTTTCCTCCACCACTACCCAAAATAGATGTTCATGCACCAGCAGTCACAACAGATGTTCTTCTACCACCAGCAGCCACAACAGATATTCCTCTACCACCAGCATCCAATACATATATTATTGAACCACTAATATATAGTTCTGCCAAGCAGCTCATCCAATACTAACCACAAAAAAAAAGAGAAAATAATAAAGAAACTGAAATACCAGATGTATTAATGAAGACCCAAGATATTATTTGTGTTGATGATGTAAAAATTCAACCTCGACCTGCACTGCATTCATTGGAGTATCCAAGGAAGAATTTTCTAACTGATCAACAACAAAGTTTTATGAATGAATGTTTCAGAAAGTTTGATAAAAAGTAAGTTAAGCCATTTAAAGTGAGCTTTAACTTTGCTTTAAGTGCGCTTTAAATGCGCTTTAATTGCACTTTAAGTATGATCATCAACATTTTGTTTGCGCTAATTTTTTTTTGTTTTTATAGGGATGACTTAATATTTTCATCTGGTAACATAGCAATAAATAGAGAAGATATTGATGATCTGCTAATAGATTAATGGTTCAGTGACAATCTTGTAGATGGTTTTGCTTGTTTGTTATTAGAGAAGAGTATGATAATGATAGACAAATTTCAACGTTACTTGTACATTTCTTCATTGTACAGGATAAGTATAATAATTATTTATAATCTATTTATTACATTAATTTTCTTATATTGCAGACTTATTGCAGGTATACATGGGGTACAATCAAGATTTCCAAATGTTTATCCAACACATTAATCTAGTTTCTATTAAAGAAAACAGTCTTACTTTTCAACATTCTCATATCGTCCAACT